TGTTTTTTTAAAAGAAGGAAAAGAAGAAGCATCCAAGGGCCGCCTGGGCATGGTCATGGATAGTGTGACTGGGGCTTTATTCGAGAGCATAAGGCATGGAGTTTTATTTTTAATCAAAGTTTCTACTGCTGAAAATCCATTTTGTTCACTAGAGTCAGCCAGGTCAAAATTCAGAGTGGGATTTAAAAAAAAATTTTTTAAAGGCTCTTTGAAGTTTCTGAAAAGAAGTCATAGAAATGTTTGTTTCAGAGATTTGACAAATTTCATGAAAAGACTGCTGTGAAGCTCTAAAATATTTCTGACTATTCCTACTGCCTTAACTTGTGTTGGTGAATTAATAATATTTGAAAGAAATTGTATTTCCTATGTAGAACTAGAAAAAATTTCCACCCGTTTTAGCTATTCTGAAGAAGTCATTAAAATGACACACATCCTATCTTTTTGCCTTTTAATCAATTTTTAAAAGTTTTGCTATTGCCATATAAGTTATGTGACTTTGGATACTGAAAGAAACTGAAAATAATGCCCCACTAGAGAATTACTTTAGACTAGCCATCATTTTGACAGGCAATCTCATTCTGTTGTAAATTACGGTTATATTTTGTGCTATAAACATCAGCAAACCAAATGAATAAGCAAATGATCAGTAGTTTGGCTTTTCAACCAAAAGAACTGTGTTAATTTTCTTGGATAATTATTAAGTTTCATGAATAGGCTCTTATGATATATATATGTGTATGTATTTTTTTTTTTTTTTTTGGAGACGGAGTCTCACTGTTACTGCCCAGGCTGTGCCTCCTGGTTCGGGCAGTTCTCCTGCCTCAGCCTCCAAATAGCTGAGATTACAGGTGCCCACCATCACACCTAATTTTTGTATTTTTAGTAGAGACGGGGTTTCACCATGTTGGCCAGATTGGTCTTGAACACCTGACCTCAGATGATCCACCCATCTTGGCCTCCCAAAGTGCTGGGATTACAGGTGTGAGCAATATCTTAACCTTTATAAAGAATGATCTCAGCTGGGTGCAGTCCCCCAAGTCTGTAATCCTAGCATTTTGGGAGGCTGAGGTGGGCAGATCACTTGAGGCCAGGAGTTTGAGACCAGTCTGGCCAACATGGTGAAACCCCGTCTCTACTAAAAATACAAAAATTAGCCGGGTGTGGTAGTGCACGCCTGTTGTTCCAGCTGCTCAGGAGGCTGAGGTGGGAGAATTGCTTGAACCTGGGAGGTGGAGGCTGTAGTGAGCTGAGATGGTGCCACTGCACTCCAGCCTGGGCAACACAGCGAGACTCTGTCTCAAAAACAAAACAAAGCAAACAACAATGACAAAAGAACAATTTCAAATCTCAAACTGTGGATTATAAGATGCTTTATCTAAGATTGTCTGAGCAATTATTTGCATGGTAAGTTCATTCTGAAGTTTTAATGTGCATTGGAATCAACTTGGATGTCTATAAAAATTCAGGCTTCTAGGCCTCTATGAAGAGAGATTCTTAATCCAATAGATCTGCAACATGCATTTTAAATAACTACCTCTGTTGATTTTCAGGCCAAGGGTCTGTCAATCACTATTAGAGACAGAATGCTTGTTCGTAGGTACTGCAAGGAAAAATTAGCATTCAGACAAAAAGGTTTCTTGCAAGGCAATTTTACTTGCTGCAGAAAGGGTACTGCTTGTCAGCCATTTGCTACAAGAGTACAATGAACAAAGGAAACGCAGGCATATTTATTATTAATGTGTTGGGTCTTTACTGCTGTGTCTGATCTCCATTGGTGAGAGCTGGACTTTACAATCTAACTAAACTTGACTAGCTAACAACTTAAAACTTTTCTGAATAGGTAAAGGCAATGGAGAGTAAAAGGAAAAGAGGAAGTCTATGTAAGGAAGGGGAAGGAAGTTGCCTGTGAAAGGACTTAGAAAAATAATAACATAAATATTTTGGTTAATGTACAAGGACATAGAATGTACTACGTACCTGTGAGCACAGCTAGCACAAATATCTTGATTAAAGTACAAGGACATAGAATGCACTTATTCTTTTATTTCTAGCAGTTACATAGGATAGGGCTTAACAAAGAGTTACTAGCAAAGGCAAGAAAGCTTGAAGAAAGCCTTTAAGAGATACCATTGTTTCTAACATTTATTATTATTCTTTAACAGGAAGGGAAACTTTGAAGAGCAACTTTTTACTTTCTACAATTTCCTCTTTGACTTCATAGTTTTCTTCTTCAAACTTTTAAAACATATCTTGGCTCAGTTGTTCTGCCTGAATCTTTAAAAGAAAAAGCTTCTCTGGGCCGGGTGCAGTGGCTCCCACCTGTAATCCCAGTACTTTGGAAGGCTGAGGTGGGTGGATCATGAGGTCAGGAGTTCAAGACCAGTCTGGCCAAGATGGTGAAACCCCATCTCTACTAAAAATACAAAAATCAGCCGGGCATGGTGGCAGGCACTTGTAATCCCAGCTACTGGGGAGGCTGAGGTAGAGAACTGCTTGAACCTGGGAGGTGGAGGTTGCAGTAAGCTGAGATCGCGCCACTGCACTCTAGCCTGGGTGACAGAGCGAGACTCCCTCTCAAAAGAAAAGAAAAGAAAAGAAAAAGTTTCTCTGGATAAGGTGGAGGAAAGTTAAGGGAGGCTTTAGTAACAGCTGTTGTTTTTTTTTTTTTTCTAGTTGGTGAAATGCTAGGCTAAAAAGGATAGCTAATTGAACTAGAGCACAAGTACTGCTCTGATTATTTGGCAGAGTGTCTAGTAAAGGTTCTCTACAATACTACTGTACATCTGCTTGTGGATGAATAAGGGTGGACTGTTGGGTCAGCTCTTGGAAGTGCTTGACTTCACTGCATCTTGTTAAGTCTTTAAGGAACGCTAAATTTTCTTCTTGTTTTTGGAGACATGAGGTAAAATTGGTCTTAGAAGATGGAGGCTGAATGGGCTTCAGGGGTTGACTTACAGCATATAGTAGAGAGAGAGTTTGGCACAGTTGATTATCTTAGGCTGTAGGATTTTGAAAAGAGCTACTATGCAGTCTTTGTTTTGTTGATTAGAGGAATATCTGAGTGGAAAGGGGACAATTTGGGTTTCTGGCTTACTGTGTGCACAAGTATAACAATCGCTTTTATTTACAGTGCGGATGGAATATTTATTCTAGTCATGCATTTACGTCTTGATACTTTGTCTTAATTGCTATGGTTTGCCTTAGGTAAATACAACTTAATGAAGGGGAAGAGTTTTTAGATGTTGCAATAACAATAGTAAGCTATATAGGATTATATTATATTGACAGCTAGAAGGAGTAATTCTTTTGGTGAAATGGGTATATGGTTATAAAGACTGACAAAGACTCTTGGAAGCAGTCTATCTTAAACTTTTAGTGTTCTATAGGACATTAGACTAAGCAGAACACAGAGATACTGTTTTAGAGGGACAAGAGTCTGATTCTTATTAATTAATACAGCTACTATTCTTTGTATTACTAGTATCTTTATAGGAACTTAATATGTCTTCTTAGTCTGAGGAAGTCTAAGAGGGACAGAGATATTTTTCTGAAGTAGTAAGCTGTCTTTGGTTATGTAAATCTCTACAAGGCATAACTAAACAGGCATCAAAAGTAGTAACCTGAGGTGAGTTAGGTCTAATTACATTAATAATAAGATGGGAAGTAGTTAGGGGAAGAAAAGAAAAAGAAAAGGTAGATAGACTGAATTTTCTTAGCTTTAATTTGGTAGGGCTTGATCCTGGAGCAATGGCTTATGATTCTGACGTTGATGGTGCTTTCTTGACTTGGGTGTGATGTGTCTTATTTCTTTTCTGCTGTGCTTTTCTGCTTAATATGTCCTTCATGGCCAGACACAGTGGCTCATGCCTGTAAATCCAACACTTTGGGAGGCCAAGGCAGGCGGATCAGGAGTTTGAGGTCAGGAGTTTGAGACCAGCCTGGCCAACATGGTAAAACCCGTCTCTACTAAAAATACAAAAAAAATTAGCTGAGCGCAGTGGCGCATTGCCTGTAGTCCCAGCTACTCAGGAGGCTGAGGCAGGAGAACCACTTAAACCCCGGAGGCGGAGATTGTAGTGAGCCAAGATTGTGCCATTATACTCCAACCTGGGCGACAGAGCGAGACTCTGTCTTAAAACATAAATAAATAAATAAATTCCCAGAGAAGGTTCTACAGTATTTCTGTACCAGTGTTTGATCATCTTCATGGATAAGAAGCATCATTTTCTCAAATACACCTAAATCCCCCTTTCTGGTTTCTCTTCTTAAGAAGCAACCATCCAAACTTCTCTTTCAATTGTAGGACACCTCATTGTCACCTGCGTTCAGGGCTTCATATCAAAAGTAGAGATGTCTATGAAACAAAAATTTAATTCTCAATATAAAAGCTAGAAAAACAAGACCATGGATCTCAGGAGAATGAAAGAGATGCCACGATGTAGGAAATAAAGTTTCATCTTCCACCTTGAAGTCAGCTGAGGATATTAGAAGAATTTTATAAAGTCACACAGTCATGAGCAGGAAGACAGATTAGAATTCATCTAATTTGTAACTTTGCTTCTTGGTAAAATCGTCCCTGAGATCAAAGACATCATTAATATTCTCCTTAGGGACATATTTCAACAAAATGTGATAGAATAAAATGTTTGCAGTCAGTTTCCAAACGAAGATTCTTTGCTTGCCACTTGACACAGGACTTTTTTTTCTTTGTTTTTTCTCAAAGAAGATGATTATGAGACACTGGACTTTAAATTTGGTCTCTGCATTGTCTTCCTTAAGTATGCTTCAGGTCTTTGTGCCTAGGACATGGGGTGAGAAGTTGAGAGAAATGGGTGAAGGCGTTAGAGAGGTAGGCAGGAAATTTAATGAGCATGGAAAGTGCCAAAATCCCTTCTAGATGTAGAGCCTGGTTCTCTTACCACATTTACTGCATTTGAAGAAGCTTGTCTCTTTTTGCTATTTACTAAATATAGACTAAAACAGTTCTCCTTCCTAAATAGCAGAGACCATGCAGAGGCTACCCTTGAATCAGATCCAGGAAGTGCTTCCCCCAATACCAGAACTAGAAGTTACTTTCACAGTGCATCACAAAGATCAATATACACGGTGAGTGATGATTTGGCTTTGTTCAACTTTATTCATTATAAAAACAGATAGATTCAAGGAGGCACAATCTATCCCCAACTCCATTTCTCTCTGGCAGGAGGTAGAAAGTGATAAATTTGCAAAGTCAGTTCATATGAATTAGATGACATGAAATAAAATCACTATTTTCTCCAGCATCTAGGAAGGATCAGTAGATGGATGTCTTAGTCTGTTAAACTAATCTCTTAGTCTTTTAAACTGCTCCTGAGATGTTAGCTTATCCCTTGGCCCTGTTTTTCCTGGAGTTGAGTCATAATTTAGTCAGACTATGAGAAAATAGAGAATGAGATGTGTAAAGCAAACTACCTGCTCCCCAATTATTGAAATAAAAACTTCTCTAAATGTAACATCTGATAATCTAAATTAAGGTACATTGATTTCGATGTATTTAAGTCTAAAAGCATGGTCAAAAGTGTTGAAATGTTTTTAATTCATTCATCAAATCTTTTTTTAAGTAGCAATGATGTTAAAGGCACTAGGAATAGCCATTGTAGGGGGTGTAAAAATTATAACAGGGAAGGGGAGGGAAACTAGCACCCCCCTTGTTGTGCTTTGTGATAATTGGTCATATCATTTACTCTTCAGAATACATGGGTGGTTATCAGTCAAGGTCCTATCAGGAAATTGATATTGTACTCAAATTGAATAATTTGAGAAGAGTTTAATGAAGGGCATTTTTCAAAATTTTGTTTTGAGATGGAGTTTCACTCTTGTCCAGGCTGGAGTGCGGTGGCACGATCTTGGCCCACTGCAACCTCCACCTCCTGGGTTCAAATGATTCTCCTGCCTCAGCCTCCCGAGCAGCTGAGATTGCAGGCATGTGCCACCATGCCTGGCTAATTTTTATATTTTTAGTAGAGATGGGGTTTTTCCATACTGGTCAGGCTGGTCTTCAACTCCTGACCTCAGGTGATCCGCCTGCCTCGGCCTCCCAAAGTACTGGGATTACAGGTGTGAGCCACCGTGCCCAGCCATGAAAGGCATATTAAGTCAGGGTGTGGGAAAATCAAAAAGAAAGAATGCAGAACCCCGAGACTAGGGATGGGGGGGCCCTGTTACTGTCTTTAAGACTAAAGGAGAAAGAAACCCAGAGAGACAAAAACAGAGAGAGAGGCAGACATGCACAGATGTTTGCCTGCACACAGACACACACACAGACACACACACGCACACACACACACACACACACACGCAATGTGTGAGGAGGGCTGTCTGATAGGAGCTGCGATATTTGGTCAAGGGACACTATAGCCTGGGGTCACCCTGAAAAGAGAAAGTAACGATCCCAACTTTGGGAACTCATACAGTGTTGGTAGGAATGTAAACTAGCATACCCACTGCAGAAAACAGTCTGGAGATTTCTCAAAAAACGAAAAATAGAACTACTGTTCCATTTAGCAATCCCACTACTGGGTATCTACCCATAGGAAAAGAAACTACGGCTGGGTGCGGGGGCTCACAACTGTAATCCCAGCACTTTGGGAGGCTGAGGCAGGCAGATTGCTTGAGCTGAGGGGTTCAAGACCAGCCTGGGCAACATAGTGAAGCCCTGTCTCTACAAAAAATACAAAAATTAGCCAGGAGTGGTGACAGGTGCCTGAAATCCCAGCTACTCAAGAGGCTGAGGCAGGAGGATTGCTTGAGCCTGGGAAGTTGAGGCTGCAGTGAGCTGTATTCATGTCACTTCACAGTAGCTTGGGAGGCAAAGTGAGACCCTGTCTTAAAAAAGAAAAGAAAAAGAAAATGAATCAATATAGCAAAGCGATGCCTCTACTCACATGTTTATTGTAGCACTATTCACAATAGCAAAGATACAGAATCGACCTAAGTGCCCATCAACAGGTGAATGGATGAACAACATGGTACATATACACAATGAAATATTTGCTGTAAAAAATGAAATCATGCCGTATGCAGCAACATGATTGGGACTGGAGGCCATTATTTCAGGTGAAGTAAGCCATGGACAAAAAGACAAATATCACATATTCTCCACTTGTAGGTGAGAGCTAAAACAAATGATCACAGGGAGGTAGAATGGAAAGGTAGAGAACAGAGGCTGGGAAAGGTAAGTTGTGAGGAGAGGATGAAGGGAAATGGATTAAAGGCTACAAACGTACAGTTAGGTAGAAGGAATAAATGAAATGTCTGCAAGGAGAGTAGGGTGACTGTAATTCACTTTATTATAATTCATTTTATTTTGGTATCTTCACATTTTTTGTACTTGGATATTGTGCTTGGGTGACAGAGACCCTAAATATCCTGCCTGGATCACTGATCACTATGCATTATATATATGCAACAAAATTTCCCAGGTATACCATACATTTATGCAGACAAGCCCCAAGTTTGCTCTTCTCCCTTCCTCTAATGTGCTAGAGAGTCCATTAGTAATCTCCATTGACCAAACCCAACCAGAGCCAGGGGGCACTGGAGCCCAGTGGAGGCAGTTATGTAAGTTGGTTTTCCACAGCACCAAGCAGGGTGGAAACAAGTGGAGGGCAGATTGGGAGAGGGACCCAAAGGAACCCAGGGTAGATGGCTCAATATGCCAAACTGAAACGAAGTGCCACGGATCTGTATGTGTTCAGGACTAAAGACAGGCACGTCTTGGTGCTTGGGTCTTAGTGCAACCGGGGTCTGCTGTGGCTCAGAAATTCCTATGTAGCAAATAGTGTAGTCATATGATTGTGCCAGTGAAATATTACTGAACATTACTATACTTGAGAAATACTACTGAATGTTATTATACGTGAGACCTCTCATTCTGGTCCTTCATTCTGGGATGCTTATCTTTGCATCTGAAGAGTTCCTCTTTGTTCATTCACCAGATGATTTTTGAGCACCTACTGTATGTCGAGAATTCTACTCATTGGCAAAAACAACAATGTAGTCAGTGGAGGAATCAAATTAGAGAGTCCCTCATTTCAGTAAAGACTGTCAAGTAACATGATAGAGGAATTCACATGGGAAGGACTAGGGGAGCACAATAGAGACACTCCACCTCCAGAGGACAGGATGCCTAGCATTTAGATGTTCAGTCAGGGTTTGTTGAGTGAATGAATAAATCCCAATTTCTATGTCTCTGTGCTAGAATCATGGAATGTTATAAATGAAAGAAACTTGCATGAACACTTACACTTTCATTTGATAGATATAGAAAATACACCAAACATACTGTAGCAGCAGAGGTTAGAGGAGACCCTAGGTTTTCTTGGTCCTGGGCTGAGAAGTTTATCACTGAGCACATTGTTTTCTTAGGGATGTAACGGGGGGCGCCATGGCATAACACAGAATCAGAAAGAACCCTGACTCAGAGACTTGAGGATGTTTGTTGGTTGTCTTATGAGGCATAGTTTTAATAAATGGTTTTCAAACTGTTTTCTACCAATTCTAATTCGAGTAACACTTAACAAAATTTTTGTGTGAATAATATTTTCTTGTTTTTATTAAATCTTTAGAATATCCCTGGGCAATTTGGACTGAGCCCTTTGGAAGAATACTCATAATTTTATTCTGTGAATAAGTAGACTGGAAAATGTTTGGGTCCAGCTGAGGATGCGCAGTTGGAAAGGAGGAGGAATGCTGACTGGTTGGTGAAAACTAGCTCAAGAGCATTCATTTGACCCATGAGATCAAGGGAACAAGAGTTTTTGCAAGAAGCCATTATGAGTCATGGAAAACAAGCTGATGAAACACATGGAAACAGCAAGAGAATTCCTACTCTCTCTGTTTTTAAAAAATCTGTCATTATACAGCACAGAACGGAGCCAACATTTTAATTTTGAGGAACCAAAAACAGGATCAAGTATGAAAACCCTTTCTTTTATTGGCCCACATTGTAAATGCTGATTTGATAATTTTTTCCTATACAGGTGGATTATTTCTATTTTACAGATTATTTAAGAGTGCCTGAGTTGTTTGTTTATACGTTTGTTTGCATTTATGAATCTTGCCACCTTTTGGCACCAGGATGTTTTTAAAAAATTCAAAGATACCAAAATAAAATGAATTTAAATAAAATACTTAAGTACTTTAATAGCAAAACACTTCCTTTGCTTCTTTTGGCTTTTATATTTGTTATAGCCATTATTAATGTCAACAATAATTATAGTTATTAATGCCAATTAAAAGCACATATAGACAAGAGGGCAGCTTTTAACATTAAAATATAAAAATGCTTTCCCAGAGTTAAAGTGGAGCTTACTCTCCTGGTCAATTTTCTATGGTTGAAATTGCTTATCTGAGTTGATTTACAGGGTTAACTGCAGGGTCAGATTTGATAATCAGTGATGGGGTTCAGGACCTGCTACCCCAAAATATGGCATCTTGCCAAACAGAATTTTTTAAGCTGAAGGAATTTGAGAAAATGGCAAATTTTAAGTGGAAAGATTACTCTGACCTTCCTCTGCCTCCTCTCTCCCCAGAAGCAGGTAATAAAATCTTTGCTTACCTTCCTCTAAAACACATCATAGGACCTTCATGTGAGAGGTGCTCTTCCTATATCCACAGAGGAAAGGCGGCTCCCTGTCTCCCAAGACACAGGGACGCAGAGGAGAATCTGAACAAATGGGCCTTGCTAAGTTTTCCTCGGTTTATTCCTCTTAGATCTGTCAGGTCTCCATATGCAAGCCTGGAGCCTGAAAGTCTAAAGTCCTGCTTGCCTTAGTCTAAAGTCTAATGTCTCCTATCCCTGCCTGCATTCGCCCAACAGAGCTTCCCTGACAAGCCCCTCACCCAACCCTGCCATTTTAACTGTTCTTATGACAATGTAAATACCTCTCACCCAACCCTGCCACTGTAACTGAACTTGTGGTCATGTATATTCCTTGCCCCTAACCCCCAACCACTATAACTGAATTTACTCAGCAACACCCCCGCCCCGCAAAAAAACTACGCAAACCTATAAAACCAACTCCTATCCCACTGCCCTTTGCTAATGCCCTTTTCGGCCTTAGCCCACCTGCACCCAGGTGAATAAACAGCCACGTTGCTCACACAAAGCCTGTTTAAAAGGTCTCTTTGTTCAAAGCGCATATTTTTCAACAAGATCTAACACTCTTTTTGCCTGATCATATTTCTCCAAGTCTCTCTCCATTCTTCCTCAAATCTACTACTAAAAACACTCAAGTTTAACTGTTTCTTCTGATCTTCGCTTCCTAATGATGGCCCTTGTGTGACGTAGAACTTATTTAAATAAATCAGTATGTTTTTCTCTGGTTAATCTTTTTTTATAGAGGCTTCAGCTCTGAATTTCAAATGGTTAAAGGAAAAGATATTTTTCCCTTCCTACATCAGCAGCCTAAGAGGCATGAATATTCCAGCACACAGAGGTTTTTTTTTTTTTTCTGGTACTGGATTATTTTTTTCTCTAGATCACAAATTGAGATTCTAATTGTAAAATTTAGAGATTGAAGATTTGGCAGACAGAATTCTACTAGTCTCATTTTTTCTTGTCTGTGTATCCCTAAATAATAGGTGGGTCAAACTCAGGTCTGGCATTTTTCAGCAGGAGTGGAGGGGCATTATACCCTATGAGGTATGGGTATTATACAATTTCTCAGGAGCCAAATTATTGTTTCCCTACATACCACCTCTTATGTTCTGACAAATGACTTGGAAATCAATGAGAACTTGGCTTGCAAAAAGCATAAATTAAGCTTCGAGTCCTGTTAAATTGTGGCAGCTTTCAGGAAGCTAATTTCACCCATTCATTAAAATAATCGACTTTTAACAGATACTGTGAAGCACCCAAAGATGTAGATGGCCTACTCTGCCTACAGAGAACTGTTTTTTCGTTCCATTTAATTATAACTTGAAGATTTGTAGCTACTATAACTGTAGTACTAATAACTGTACACTATTTAGTGATTTGCAAATCTTTAATACAGATTATTAAATACCCTTTGACATTTCTAGTGTTTAAAAATTTCTTAATTGACTGTTTTTCCTGATGTATCTGTTTTTATTTTTAGCATCTTGTCCTCTTCTTCTCCTTTCTGGTTGCTGTTATTGCTCAGCAGAGATTTCTTTTCTTTCTTTTTTTTTTTTTTTAAAGAGAGACAAAAAGAAAGAGAAAAAAAGAAAGAAAGAGAGAAAGGAAACAAAGAATGAAAGAAAGAAAGAAAGAGGAAGAGAAAGAGGGAGAGAAAACAGGAGTCTTGCTTTATTGCCCTGGCTAGCATGCAGTCTAAAAATGGGTATTGAAAACCTCTTTTATGCCAATAGTTGTGCTTAACAATGGAGACAGGAAGGAATCAAGGAGGAAAATAACAAACAAGCAGCCAACCAATATTTCATTTAAACCTGTGAAATGCTATGCGATTACTGAGGAGTGATTTACTTCCAATTATGTAGTCACTTTTAAAGTAGGTGTAATGCGGTACTGATAAGAATATATGTTTTGTGGATTTGGGGTAGAGAGTTCTATAAATGTTTATTAAGTTTACTTGTTCCGGGTCTGAGTTCAAGTCCTGGATATCCTTGTTAATTTTCTGCCTTGTTGATCTGTCTAATATTGACAATGTGATGTTAAAGTCTTCGACTATTATTGTGTGGGAATCTAAGTCTCTTTATAAGTCATTAAGAACTTGCCTTATGTATCTGGGTGCTCCTGTATTGGGTGTGTATATATTTAGGATCGTTAGCTCTTCTTGTTGCATTGATCCTTTTACCGTTATGTAATGTCCTTCTTTGCCTCTTTAGATCTTTGTTGCTTTAAAATCTATTTTATCAGAGGCAAGAATTACAATTCCTGCTTTTTATTTTATTTATTTTTTTTGCTCTCTGTTTGGTTAGTAAATCTTCCTCTGTCCCTTTGTTTTGAGTCTTTGTGTATCCTTGCATGTGAGATGGGTGTGGACGCAGCATACCAATGGGTTTTGGCCTTTTATCCAATTTGTCGGTCTATGTCTTTTGATTGGGGCATTTAGTTGATTTAAATTTAGGATTAGTAATAATATATGTGAGTTTAATACTGCCATTTGATGCTAGCTGGCTGTTTTGCCCATTAGTTGATGTAGATTCTTCATTATACTGATACTCTTTACCTTTTGGTATATTTTTGGAATGGCTGATACTGGTTGTTCCTTTCTTTTTTTTTTTTTCCCATTTATTTATTTTATTGCATTTTAGGTTTTGGGGTACATGTGAAGAACATGCAAAATTGTTGCATAGGAACACACGTGGCAGTGTGATTTGCTGCCTTCCTCCCCATCACCTACATCTGGCATTTCTCCCCTTGCTATCTCTCCCCAGCTTCCCACCCCCCACCGTCCCTTCCCTATTTCCCCCCAACTGACCCCAGTGTGTAGTGCTCCCCTCCCTGTGTCCATGTGTTCTCAATATTCAACACCCGCCTATGAGTGAGAACATGCGGTGTTTGATCTTCTGCTCTTCTGTCAGTTTGCTGAGAATGATGGTTTCCAGGTTCATCCATGTCCCTACAAAGGACCCAAACTCATCGTTTTTGATGGCTGCATAATATTCCATGGTGTATATGTGCCACATTTTCCCTATCCAGTCTATCATCGATGGGCATTTGGGTTGGTTCCAGGTCTTTGTTATTGTAAACAGTGCTGCAATGAACATTCGTGTGCACGTGTCCTTATAGTAGAACGATTTGTAATCCTTTGGATATATACCCAGTAATGGGATTGCTGGGTCAAATGGAATTTCTATTTCTAGGTCCTTGAGGAATCGCCACACTGTCTTCCACAATGGTTGAACTAATTTACACTCCCACCAACAGTGTAAAAGTGTTCCTATTTCTCCACATCCTCTCCAGCATCTGTTGTCTCCAGATTTTTTAATGATCGCCATTCTAACTGGCGTGAGATGGTATCTCAATGTAGTTTTGATTTGTATTTCTCTGATGACCAGTGATGATGAGCATTTTTTCATATGTTTGTTGGCCTCACGTATGTCTTCTTTTGTAAAGTGTCTGTTCATATCCTTTGCCCACTTTTGAATGGGCTTGTTAGTTTTTTTCTTGTAAATCTGTTTTAGTTCTTTGTAAATTCTGGATATCAGCCCTTTGTCAGATGGGTAAACTGCAAAAATTTTTTCCCAATCTGTTGGTTGCCGATTCACTCTAATGATTGTTTCTTTTGCTGTGCAGAAGCTGTGGAGTTTGATTAGGTCCCATTTGTCTATTTTGGCTTTTGTTGTCAATGCTTTTGGTGTTTTGGTCATGAAGTCCTTGCCTACACCTACGTCCTGAATGGTTTTGCCTAGATTTTCTTCTAGGGTTTTTATGGTGTTAGGTCTTATGTTTAAGTCTTTAATCCATCTGGAGTTAATTTTAGTGTAAAGTGTCAGGAAGGGGTCCAGTTTCTGCTTTCTGCACATGGCTAGCTAGCTTTCCCAACACCATTTATTGAACAGGGAATCCTTTCCCCATTGCTTGTTTTTGTCTGGTTTGTCAAAGATCAGATGGTTGTAGATATGTTGTGTTGCCTCCGAGACCTCTGTTCTGTTCCATTGGACTATATCTCTGTTTTGGTACCAGTACCATGCTGTTTTGATTACTGTAGCTTTGTAGTATAGTTTGAAGTCTGGTAGTGTGCTGCCCCCCGCTTTGTTCTTTTTGCTTAGAATTGACTTGGCTATGCGGGCTCTCTTTTGGTTCCATATGAAGTTTAAGGTGGTTTTTTCCAGTTCTGCGAAGAAGGTCATTGGTAGCTTGATGGGGATAGCACTGAATCTGTAAATTACTTTGGGCAGTATGGCCATTTTCACGATATTGATTCTTCCTAACCATGAACATGGAATGTTTCTCCATCTGTTTGTGTCCTCTCTTATTTCATTGAGCAGTGGCTTGTAGTTCTCCTTGAAGAGGTCCTTTACATTCCTTGTTAGTTGTATTCCTAGGTATTTTATTCTCTTTGTGGCAATTGTGAATGGAAGTTTGTTCTTGATTTGGCTCTCTTTAAGTCTGTTATTGCTGTATAGGAATGCATGTGATTTTTGCACATTGATTTTGTATCCTGAGACTTTGCTGAAGTTGCTTATCAGTTTCAGGAGATTTGGGGCTGAGATGATGGGGT